AGGATGAAATCTGTCGCCATATTTCGTCCGATAACCGGACACGATTACCCGAATAAACTTCTACGTCGCATCCATTTTGGTTCATGATTCTTTTTGTACTTTGTGTGATCTCCGTGAGGAGATGGACTTGTCTCACCTGTTTAGATGTCCAACCTCTTCCCCGGGCGCTCATCTGGGAAAGCTACTGGATCTGCTCGCTCTCATTTATAGATTTATTGCTATCTTTTTTGATATTCAGTTGTCCTTTAATAGGTCATTGGAAATAAAAAAGAATTATTTTAATAAAATCAAATTTGATATCATGATTTTTATGTTAAGCTTTGTGCCATATGTTTTTTTAGTTTCATAACTACGCATATGTTAATATTAGTAGGTCTACCGGAAAGTTCTGTCCTTAAAAGCATACGACGCCTCATTTTACAGTTATGCAAAAGATTCTTTTATTAAAGAAATGGGTATATAGCGTATTTATCCTGAAACGCAATGTTCTAGGTTAAAAAAAAAACAGCATATTTAGTACAAATTAGCAAGCGCATACATATTCAAATTAGTAAAGAAAGTATCGAGCAGACCTAACAGAAACATCTGATTTATACAATTGAGTTTAAATCCCTTATCACTTTTTCTTTAATGACAAATGTAACGTTTGCAACATTGCATAATGAGCAGTGAATTTTTCGAACATAATTTCTAGCCGACAAAATAATCTAATTAATTATATCGCTATAAGCTCATTTTAATTAAATATTATTTATCAAGCTCTTTCGATACGCGACAATTTTACAATTTTTGTTATCTTCATAATTACTTATTTGCTAAAACGATGCATTTTTAACTTAAAATTTTTTAGCAAAAAATAAAGTCTTTTTTTTTGTTAAATTAATAAAAAGATTCGTATCAAAAAAAAAAAATGACGTATTCATGATGAAATTAACTTTTTTATTACATACGTCAAACACACTCAGATACTATCAAATAAATTTTAGCATCTGTTCTCAAAAGAACTTATCACTCGCAATATATTCAAAATGCAATTACAATTCACACACGTAATTTTACAAATGTCCATCATAAGAAAATATAATCATCAGTGTTATTTAGTTCGGGTAAAAAAAAAATTGGCTGCTTTTGCCGTTTATATTTGGAAAACAATTTAAAAAATGCAATCTTTCGCGAAGGGCGATAATTATGACTGGATATGTTTTCATTATCTCGCATAAAGGGCGTTAATTTTCTCTTAACACGAGGTGGTTTCGGGATGACTTAATGGCAGTGGTGATGGCTGAGATAATGATTTACATGTCAGTTTTTGGGCTCTTTTAATGGCTTAATTTTAGTTAGGCTTTTGTTCTCTCTCTATTTCAAACCGACTTTATTGTTTGAGTAATAAGAGGTTTTGACAGTTCCATCCCTAAATGCATTTTCTTAATTTTCGAAATTATGAACACTGCACAGGGAACAGTAAAACAAAGGAGAAAATTGTTGTTTTCCAACAATATTTGTTGTTACATGCAAATAATACTGATTCTAATGATTTATTTATAACTTTTAAACGAATATTATGAATGGAATAGTGATAAGATGAAAAACCTTGGTATTTTATAAGATTTATAGTTGCATGCTTTTTTATGGGAACATGCCAGCGTGTCCTATAGATAAATTAGCATTTTATTACTGCGTGCAAAGACAGATATGGTATTTTATGCTTTAGTTATATTGTTGTCGATAAAAGAAACCAAAGTTTTTATTATTTTTTTTTCTGGCTTCCCAGTAATTGGAAAATCATTATCGAGTAATATTACTTCCAGCAAAAAAAAAAAAAAAAAAATACTGTGTTCGAAAGACGTAAAAAATTGCACTCTTGATAACAAAAAATCTCATTACCTGATTTCAGAAATGTCACATAAAGTAAACTGGACGAATTGTTTGAATTTAGTATCAACCCTTTTAATAATAATAGTTCCTTAATGATAATAGAATAATTTATTAAAAATTAATTTTAAATATTTTTGATAATTCTCTATAGCTTTTACGGGGATAAAATTTCTGATGATATTAAAATAATTCGTGGGAAAATGTTTAAACAATGTTTTAACTGTCGGATTGGAAAATGCGGGCTTAGTGGTTTTTTTTCATCTAAGACTACAACTTTTTAAAAATAAAAAATAATAATTTTATAATCATCGAATATATTATAGAATCTCTCGAACTAATTAATAACTTATAATTTTTTATATGTTTTTTGTAAGTTATGTTCTCGTTTTCCGTATTACCAATTAAAAATATTTGTTTCTGAAACTTCTAGACCTTATCGTAATTGCTACTAAAAATAGTGATTTCTGCTGAACAAACTTCATTTCTATAAAATGGAATACTTTATTTTATTTTATGACGTTTTACCCTTAGAAAAAATTGCCATAAGTTTGCCATAAAAAATTACTATAGGATATTCTTATGAGCCTATGGTGAGATTTTACCCTGCAATTTTGCCATAATTGTATGCAAATTTTCTTACAATATGGGTAAGGCAAATATTTTGCTATACGTATTTGGCAAAAGTGTATGGTAAAATCTTAACATACGTATGACCTCATTAGGATATCCAATGGTAATTTTTATATAAAAAAAAATTTGCCATAAAACTATAGTGTGTTATAACCTATGACATTTTTCCTTAGGCTATGGCAACATTTCTTCATAGCCCTGTAGAATTTTATCATACAACTGCACAAAGACAAATTTATATATAGACAAGGGTCATTAAACTAGAATATGTTCTTTTCCTTTAGTAGCTTTAAAAGAGAATGATTATAATATGACAAATTAAGGTGAGAGCTAAAGTAACTAAGCATATGAGGAACGACAATAATTATAGAAGAAAGCAAGAAATTAGCTACCTGTTTTTAATAAATTAAATTTATTGTATTTTTAGGATGTAGATTTACTTTCTGTCACAAATATTGCTTAAAAAATTAATAGCTTTTAGTTAAATGCACTGTAAAAGATTCTAATAAAATATGCCTTGAAAAAATATTTCTCACACTGTAACTTTTTACTGTATCCTTACACCAAAAATGGTAACTATTACTTTACACCAAAGGGGTGTAAACCCATGAAGAGTTCTTGGCGTAGTGGCGTCAAGTACACTACTTGATGTAAAGTAGCTGCCACCAGTTTTTATACACAGTTACACTAATACGTATTATTAAAGAAAAATAAAATACATATAAAAGTTAGTAAAATTATTTGTAAACGAAATTTTTAAGTTAGAATCGAAAATTAAGGATGCATAAATACACTAATTTTTAAAATAAAATTTGTTTATAAGTTAAACATGCGTGTAGCACAGAGAGAATAATAAGATGAATTCAAACTAGGTTTAACAGAACAGAAGCTGTTTGAAAGTATCCGTTACAAAATTATTTAATGCAGTTTACAGAGACTTAAAAATTAAAATATTAATACACTTATACCCCAACAAAAAACGTACTTACAGATTTTAAATCATAATTATGTTTGTGCATGAGCCTAAAAGCATTGAAGACATTAAAAAACAAACTAAATGTATTCTTGAGTAAGCGTTTCTTTCATTAAAACTGAATTCAAAATTCATTTATCACATAAAATTATGAAATCATATAAGACTTTGGAAAATGAGCATTTAGCTGCTATATTGAAACACCGCCCTGCAAAAAATGACCAATAGAAATCAATAAAAAAAAATGTATTGATCTGTACGGGGAAATGGAACACTGATATCAATAGAGTAGATCAGTACAATGGACTGGTCATGATATATTGATATCAGTAGAGTAGGTCAATACAATGTATTGGTCTATATCAGTAGAATGGACTGATATCAGTAGAGTGTACTGGTCTGTACGGGGAAATGGAACATTGATATCAGTAGAGTGTACTGGTCTGTACGGGGAAATGGAACATTGATATCAGTAGAATGGACTGGTCTCTACGGGGAAATGGAACACTGATATCAGTAGAATGGACTGGTCTCTACGGGGAAATGGAACATTGATATCAGTAGAATGAACTGGTCTCTACGGGGAATTGGAACACTGATATCAGTCGAATTTACTGGTCTGTACAAGGAAATGAGACATCATGGTCCCATCAGAAACATAGACTGGTCTAAGTTAGGGAAAACAATATTAATGTAAGCATATTAGATAGGTTTAAACAGGAAAATGCATCATTGTTTATCTTTTTTAATATGCAAGATTTAGCTGAATTGGTCACCTGCTTTGTATGCACCATAGTAAATTTTCTACTAGCTGCAGCCAGCGGAAAATTTAATATAAATTAATAAAATATTACAGGACAGTATAAAAAAATACTTATCTAAAGCATCTAAAAATGTTTTGAATATTTAAAGTTAAACACTGCTTATGTGGAAGGATAAAAGAATTATATTCTAAAAAAACATACTTCTTTATACCTACACTATGCTAGTTTTAAAGTTAACTTTAATTTCCTTTTCATATTTCCAATTTAATTTTAAATATAATTTATTACTAAATTATATTTTATTGTTTAATATAACTATAAAAAGAAACTTAAAATGTGAGTTCAAGAGGGTACCTTATTGGAAAAAATTCCTGGTATAAAAAAAAATCATGCCGGCGTATGAAATACCGGTTCTGGTATGATACTAGATCGGGAATTATACCAGACCCAGCGTTTCATCCGCCGGTATCATACCGAAGCTGGTGTTTCACAAGTTAGCAGGATACTGGCTCCGGTATAATACCTAAATTGTAGTTTCATTATCTAGTATCATGCTAGAGCCAGCATATACTGGTACTAGTGTACTGTGCTCAGCATACTGGAATAGTGTTTTAAAAACCGGTTTATTCTTAAAACAAGCATAGTGTGTTACTACAGTTTGATACACGAACAGCTCTGAATGGAAAATAAAACATTGATACACAATTGGGTAAATAAGTTAAGTCACCTGATTTATACCGAGAAATAAAACACTGACATCAATTAACACTTTATCAAAAGCTATAGCATTATGTTTATAAAAACAAATCAACTTTTTTTAAGCTTCTTTATAGTTAATTAAATTTTTTTTAAACAATAAATTAAAATGTTAGAAAATTATTGTGAATAATATTGGAATCTACAATACTACACAAAATAATGTTTTGGAGCAACATTATAAAAGTACAAATGGATTCTTCAGATTTTATGAAAATGGAATGGGGATTAGTTGGATGTTACTTTATTGATAGCCAAAAACCTGACTAAAATATAGTCAATTTATTGTCATTTCAAGACCCCCCCCCCTCATTGTGTTTGACATAGCATTTTAAGAGTAAAAAGTTTCAATATTTAAGAAAGAAAAAAATGACAGAACAATCTTAAAGTATACCATAAGCTTTAAATCCTTATACACACAAATGATATACCATTTATTTGATTTTTATCTATGCAAAGCTTGTGCTAAGCATTTGTCATCTTACCATATATATTAAACTTGAAATTTGGCAAAACAAAAATGTTATTTTGGGGAAAGTATTGGCGAATGCTGTTTTCGAACAAAAAGAAAAGTTTATCCATTCATTGTTCATTTACTCCTCCCCAACTGCAAAATGATTCTTAATTTGTAGTTGCATTTTTATAAAATAATTCAATTTATAATAAATATGCATTTTCCTACTGAAAAAATCAATCATAAAAAATTGTTACGATTTGCCTTTGGCTTAGAATTTTAAAAACTGGCTAATAATTTTAAATCCTTAGCATGGGTTATGTATATATAGATAGTAATATCATAATTAAAGGTCAGTAATTAAAAAGAGCAAGTAAACAAAGAAAACACAACAACAGCAGTAAAATTATAATGGAAAATCATACTTAATACAATGGGAAATTAACCAGTAAGAATAACCTAAACCAAATTTACAAAATTATAGTTTAAAGTTAAATAAAATTAGCATTATTATGAGAAAATAATAAAACATCATAGTAAAAGGTAATAATATACAGATAAATTTGCTATACAGAGTGAAACGACTTTAAGTTCATTTTAATGGCTCAAGGAAGAGCTGGTAAGACTTGTGTAATGTAGGTATTTATAAAAAAAGTTCACATGTTTCGCACAGAACTTTTAAATTAAAACATATTTCAAGTTTCGAAAAAACCGAATCACACTCTTTTTCAATTTTCACTACTTAACACAGTTAAAAAACTTGCTGGAGGAGGTACATTGGCAAAGCATTGCAGAGGAGGCCTAACCAAATCTTTCCTGCAGCATCCACATCAGGCAGATTCTTTATATTTTAGTCTATCATTCTTACAATGGTGGAGAAGATTTGGCTGTAGGGGAGAGTAAAAACAAGTGGAGGAAATTAACAGCAGTATTTGTGAAGTGATCAGCTTCATTATTTCCAGAAATGTCGCAATGGCTCAAGGAATAGAAAGTTTGCACTGACCACAGTGCTGACGTAAAATATCCTTTGTGGTAGACGGATCATGACGCCAGACTATCCGTGACATGTTTGCGTGGTTTTCTTCTCCATGTAACCCAAATAAGAGTCTTGTCATGCATTCAGTTCGGCTAGAAAATTTTAAACAGAACTTATCAATGTAAAAGTATTTTATTTGAATAAGTTGTTGAAAGTTTTCATCACAATGTACACATTTTATTACATTAGGAATAGGTTTAGCCATAATAATTTTTAAATTTAATATTATTGATAATTTAATATTATTGAACTAATTTAACACGTTGAATGCCATAGGGGTCACCGGTGACTGGCACTGAGTTTGTTTGTAGCGCCACAGGGGTCACCGATGAACGGCGAAGCCTAGATTATTAGAATAAATTTTTAATGCTCCTAATTTTTTTATATTATTATCATTACTAAGATGGTTGGAAGAAATTAATGCAATACATACTGAAAAAAATCATTTTGGCCAGACGGGCAAGCCGTGTAAAATTAGCATGGCATTCAACATGTTAAAGAAAAGAAAAAAAAAGTTACATCCAGCTAAGATTAAATACATAAGAAAGTGTAAGGATTGTTTTTAACCCATAACAAAAATGAAGTAAACAAAGAAAATTTAAATGCAAATAGAAAAGTAATTATTTATAAAAATAACTACTTATAAAAATAATTATTGTTTATAAAAATATTTAATAATTGAAAATGTTTTTTTGCATTTACTTGAACACAGTCAAGACAGAGTAGCAAAAAAATATCATTTAGTAGTTATACTAATAACATAAATTTAATGTAATTAATTAACTATACTAATAATATAAATTTAGATTACCTAAACATTAAATTGCCTTTCAGAGAGCAAAAAAAAAAAAAAAAAATTTCACTGTATATAAAGTTTTTACACATATCTTTACCTTAAAATCTATATATATTTTTTGTAAATATTGTTATCAAGCTTTGCTACATATTTTTTGGCTACAGTTCAGGAAAAGCATTAAAATAACAAAAGAATTTGTGATTAACACTTAAAATATAATGCAAAGTTTAAAAATATTATACACAACTAAATAAATAATTAATTTGATACTAACGGTGATATTAATGGGAATTTATGTAAATAACATGTGAACAAAGTGTTTCTATTTAAGTCTGATTAAGAAACCCAGAAAAAAAAAACATTAAAAATACTTTCTTTTCATGGAATCTGTATACGAGTATATCGTAACCCTAGATATGCATGCACATGCAGTAATAATTCAAGAATAATATACATGTATAGATAACTTAAAATATCAATAAAACTCAAGCATACGTTTTAATATTTCTGTAACTAACAAAGATGCAAATAAAAATAAGAAATAAAGAAAAAATTACACTTACTAAAATATTTCTCCCCATAATATGCGTCATTCTTTCCATGACGCTCAATTGTAAACATTGAACGTAAGTCGGAGTAATGTGATTGGCTGGAACTTCAGACTGAGAAACGGAATGAACTGGGGAAAAAGTTTAAAAGGAACATTCTCAAAATTGGGAGTGTAGGCAGCTTGATATGATTTAACGAACGATTAAAACACATTTAACGAACGACTAAAAGTCAATTCTCGTATTTTGCATGCTCCCCTTTCGTTTCTGAATTAATAACTCCTTTTTGCTTTTATAGATTCAATTGGATTGAATTAACTATGTTTCTACAAAACAAATTTACTTATTTCATTCAAAAAAGTTTATTTTGTTTTATGATCTAAATTTATTTAAAACAAATTTCAAAAAGGGACTGAAATTTATAAATTTATGATGGCGAGGTTAATGTTTGAAGGTAAAAAGTTTGAGATTTTACATGAATTTTTAATTTATGTAAATGTATTTCTTTTGCTATGAAGTTGTTTGAAACCTAAAATAATTAATTTATTTTGCGAATAGTTCTAGTTTAGTATAAATTCAATAATAATAATAAATCAATAAAAATTAATAACAACTTATAATAAAATTTAAAGTGATACAATTAATAATATTTTTTTTTGCCATCATGACTTTGATTAAAATAAATTTTGTAAATTACAAAATAAATAAGTAAGTAAATGATAAACTAATAAAAACAAGTTTTATTATTAAATTACTTTTATTATAAAATTACTTTCATTTGAATGACTTTAAGCAGATTTTAAAGTTATTAAAATGTGTAAAAGTTTTACTCAAAAACTTCCTTTCTTCCAAAATTATAAAATGATTTTAATAATTTTAAATATGTATTCTTTAATTAGTGCACATAGAAAGTGTACGTTTTCACTACCCTTAATATATATGTTAAGAATCCTTATAAAAATCTAAGAAATTAATTATCGGAAATCAGTATATAATCAAGAAAAAAAAATTATAAAATAATGAAGAATTATTAACTAAGTAATCTAATTTTAAAAGGTCGTAACCTGTTAGATTTCTGGAAAAATATGTATTGTAAGCAAACGTATGTAAAGTAATTCTATAGGCACCTGTTGATGTATTAATGAAAACAAATATAGACTAATAAAATACCTATTGATCAATAATTGCTAAGTTTTACTGGTGTCAATAAAAATCTGTAGATATCAGTTCATACATTGATAAAACAAGTAGAATACCTAACTGATCAACATCTATTGATACAAGTACCCTACTGATGTCAGTAGTCATCAGTTGAAGTGTGAAATACAGACAAGTATATACCAATAGAGTACCTACTGATCAATATCCATTGATACCAATACACTGCTGATATCAGTTGAAATGTCAATGGGAACAAGTACAGACCAATAGAATTCTATTGATCAATATCTATTGATACCAGTACACTACTGATATCAGTTGAAATGTCAATAGGAACAAGTACAGACCAATAGAATACCCTACTGTTCAACATCTATTGATGCCAATACACTACTGATATCAGTTGACATCAGTTGAAATATCAATAGAAACAAGTACAGACCAATAGAATTCTATTGATATCAATAAATTTTTTTATTGATTTCTATTGATCATTTTTTGTAGGGCGTTTACGGTTCATTCGAAATCCAAACTAATAAATAATGTTTTTGATGGATTGAACAAATCAGAATGGATAACATACCTTTACAATTGTTTTCATTATTACCATTTCATATAGTGAATCGCAATGTATCTGTTGCAGCCTCATCAAAAGATGTGGGAGCCCCCTAGCGAATACGAATAAGACTCAATAGCTTATAAGAACAGTTTGAATGTGAACGGTCACTTGATACAAGCGCTTGGCGCTTTTCTCTTTTTTGTTACTCATCTACTTTTGTTGTTCATCTTTTATCGTTATGTTTATTAAATTACACTAAAATGTTAATTAGCTTGGTCTTCATTCGTACTTAGATATTTATTATTCAATATATTGCTTCTGCCAGCCCGGAAATAGAATCTCAGGTTGACGTTTCAGTTTCGAATATTATTAAGAACAGCAAGGTAAGTGAAACCTTGTTATTTTATTTGATTGTTTGGAGTAATAACGCCATCATTATACAACAGTATCAGTCAATCCCAGAAGCTGCCTCAATGTTCCTTTTTTAATATGAATAATGTCTTTTCATCCGTTGCTTTAGAAGTTTCAATCACTTTTAATGTAAAGCAAATGTAATGTAAAGCACGCTTGCACTAAAATTAATTAAAAAAACCAATTTGTAAGTAATAATATTTTTTCGAAGATTCTGAATATTTACACTGTTAAAAGAAATAACGGTAAATTTTAAAATAAATTTTGACTGCTTTTCTTTTATCGTTCTCACCAAGAACCAAGATGTAAACAAGAGATATACATTTCCTCTTCTAGCGGGTGAGAGAAAAAAAAGTTTCTAGAATGGATTAAACAAATATCTCTTTTACACTTTGGATTGAGCAAATGTTTCTTACTCTCTTTGCAACAAATATTTATTTACTTACATTACAGTTTGCTTCATATTACATTATACTTGACAATACTTTTACTTGTACATGGTTATTTTTCAAAATAATTTCTTTCACTTGTACTTCGTTATTTTTTAAGAATAGTACTTTTACTTGCTGCTTTGTTTAAAAATTTAAGTACCTATAACGAAAATGTCGAATGAAATTCGTACATTTCTGAAACAGTTAGTTTTGATAATTTTTTTAAATTTAACTTTTTTATCGAAAATTATAATTTTAATATAACTTCACCAGCTTATTTTTCATAAAACCTTTGAGAATTTCAAGTTCATCTCTTTTACTTTCGAAACCGGAAGTTTCTCCCGTTCTTTTCACAAATGGAAGCCGTTCTTTTGATAAAGGAATGTTTTATTTGCGTCTATAATAAAAACTTTTAACCATTGCGTTTATATCTGGAAGTTTTAGCCATTGGTTTTATATCAGGAAGTCTTTGCTTCCATAAATTGGAATTTCAACCAATCCTTACAGAAAAAGAAGTTCCAGCTGTTTCTTTCAAAACAGGAACAGGAACTTTCATGACGGGACGTTTCAACAGCTATAGTTTCTTTTTCGAAAATTTCAACCACTACTCTCCTGCCAGAAAGTTTATACGTGTCTCATAATTGTGTGAGTGTTTTCAAGTTTTCCAGGGAGACCCACTTGTTTTTGTGGTTCCCAACATCAGGCAAAAAGAAAAGAAAAGAAAAACTGATCCCTTCCAAGCTGCAAATAAACAAAACTAAACCAACTTCATCTAGCACAGTTTTTTCTGACCTTTCAAACATCTAATATTTTAAAATCACAACTTCCTGACCTCATCCAGGGACTGCAAATTTCATGAATGCCCATTGGAAACCCCCACCGCGTCGATTAATATTCAGGTGGTTCAAGCGTCGTCTTCGCCTTCACGCTTTGAGTAATCTTGTAATACAATATAAAAAGAAAAGAGAGAAATAACTGAACACGTTATCATAGCAGAAATACTTGACTTTACAAAAAGTCCTGCGTTAAAGATGAAGGCAAGCTTACTGAACAAAAGTATCCTTGCAAATGCCACGAAAAACAGGATATTTAGTGTTTTTTATCTTTTCAAACAATGCAGCAACATTCTTTCATTTTGAGCAATCCCAGGGCTTTGTTAAATTTTTTTAATTACTCGAAAGAATGCAAATCATTCCACTGTCGCACTTTTATTAGATTAACTTTATTAAAGAAATCTTAAATGCAAAATTACTATAGTGCATTGTAAAAATAATAATTTTTAAGTAATTGAAAAACATAATAAATTAAAAATAGAAATTAGACCTATACTGCTATGCAGTTAAAAAACAAAACAAATTAACTTATTCGCGCTAGATGGCAAAAAAGTAGTTTGATAACTATTTTCTTCCCTTTTGTTACAACTATAAACGCTATAAGAGAATTTCAAAAACTGATAAAACAAAAATTCTTTTTTTGAAAAAAAAATTGTTTGCAGTAAATAACTGCTTCTTGCAAAAAGGCCAAATATATAACGATTTCATTTTTGAATTTTTTGTTAATTATATTGATTGTTCCATTGCATGTCAGAAGGATAGGTCAAAAATAAATAAAGAGGGGCAAAAATAGGCAATAAAATAAAGAGGCGCAGTCCAGTCACCAATTAGGACCGTCACTCCAGATTTTAACCACTTAGTTACAAAAATGCATCAATTTAATATAAAAGAATAAAAACAAAACCTAAATAACTTATGTAGTTTCTGAGAATTCAAAATTAATATTGCTTTAATATCAGTTTCTCAGAAATAGTGATTGAAATTTGACAATCTGTGTACGCTTTTCCTGTTGACAATTTTTGTATTAGCCAAAAACAAAACGTAAATAATATATGTAGTTTCTGAGAATTCAATTGCTTTAATATCAGTTTTGTCGAAATTCTGATTGAAATTTGAAAATCTGTGTACGATATTCCTGCCGAAAATTTTTTGTATTAGCTACTGAAACTCGTTCGAAAATTTTTACATTGTTTTTTAACGATAGAAAAAAATTTATTTTCGGAAATTAAAAAAAAAAAATCCGATTTTGAAAATAATTACTTCTGAATCATTACTTTCTCTGTCTGATTTTCAGGATAATTGTTCTGAAGTTACAGAAGAGACACGCAGATACAAACTAATTCTACATTTAGTTAAAGCAGCTATCTATAAAATAATACACTAAAGTAGCTTTTCTCAACAACAACAAAGACGTTCCCTCCTCCTTAAAGGAAAATAAAAATAATGTATAACATTAAATTGATAGAAAGACTGAGAAGAAAGCTTACTTTTTTGAATTCCATCTATGTAGCAAATTACTTTCTGTCCAGTTCAGGAATGGCGACAAAAAGCTTTCAGTTCCTCAGATTAGACTGCATTATTGTCATCTTCTGTGAGACATCGAATCTATTTCAAAGGATTACACGAAATATCTCGGATGTCATGATCCCAATCGTGATCTTCATAAGCTCAACTTGATTGATCTGAGAAGAAGGAATCAGAGCTTAGAAAAAGAAAAAATACTTGACATTTTTGCAATTAAGTTCCGTTATGGAAAAAATATTACTTTTTACTGCCAAGATTACAAAATTATCTAAATATGAAGTGAAAATATTATTAATATGCTTTCAATTAAATTGCCGTGATGGGTACTGCTTTAATGTGTTAAAGTATAAAAAATTAAGTACGTATCTTTTCCTTTTTAAATATATGGTATGTAAATATATTTTGTACAGCATTAAATATGAATATTAGATGCACTGAGGGATAAAAAAAACAAAAAAAAAAACAGACCGCCTTGAATAGCTTTTGATCTAAGAATCAAGGACTTCATGTTCAAGGACTCAATCTTAATGGCTCGAAAAAGTGACCTCAAATATACTAACTAGTAAGTGCATACGCTATTTCAAGTTATGAAATACGACACCAAACCGTACTTTCTCTGAACAAACGTACCTTTTTTTTCTCGATGAGTTCGGATTTCGGACAGGACAAATGTA